GGTGCACAGATCCTTGATAACCTTAGCGTAGGCCGGCACTTGCTTGATCACATATAGTAACGAAAGATTGATCTTCATTTGTGTCAAGTGCTCTAGGATCTCACTTTGATTTTCCGGCACTTTCCCAGCAGGTCGGAGAGCTTGGAGGAAGGGCACCTTTACCGGAATTTTTGTTGGCTCTTCTTTCTCCTGAGTTGATTCTTCATTACTCGAAGTGGTTGTACTTGTCGATGGCGTGTCAAAATTCATACCACTTCGAGTAGAGATGGCATTAACTTCCTTGATATTTTGACCTTCAGAGTTGGAAGTTTGAGCCATGTGTTGTCCTCTCAAATTGGACTGGGCTTGTGATGGAAATCTACCGCTCTCTTGAACGGTTAAAGCTTCTGTCAGCTTTGTGATCTGACTTTTTATTTCCTTGTTCTCTTCCACCAGCTACGTGAGCATTGAATCAACTATTTGATTCGTCTTATTTTACGTGTCCATAAAAGCTTTTAGGGCCTCTAGAGAATTCCCTTTCGGCTGCATGTTATTCTGAGGTGCAAAATATGTCCTTAGTGGTTGAGATTGTTACTCTGATCTCCATTGCCCTCTAGATGATTGTGCTTGTTGGTTCGAATCTCCCCAACTAAAGTTCGAGTGGTTTTTCCAACCAGGATTGTAAGTTTCTGAGAAAGGTCCATAAGGCTTATTGTATGTGCCCAATACATTGCATTGCTCCTCGTATACCCCTCTCATTTCACCAAAAGTGAGACAATCTTAAGCCAGATGGCCCACTCCACCACAAACGAAACAGGGCTCATGTGCCTCTGTCCTTGCCGCCATATGGGTTTCTTTACTATCTTTACTTTTGAGGGCCTCAATTTGCTTCATCAAAGCTTCAACTTGGGCCTTGAGGCTATCCTCTTCCCTTAATTGATAAACTCCAACTGGTCGGGACCTACTAGTGCTCTCAGTAGCACTCGGTCCAGTCCAAGTATGAGCTTTCTCAGCTAACTCATTCAGGTACTCGATAGCTTCGTCAGGATCCTTCGGGAGAAAATCTCCATTGCACATTATCTCGACAAATTGGCGTTCTCGGATTGTGAGTTCATTGTAGAAATAGCTTACGTGGTGCCAACTTTCATATCCATAGTGGGGACACAGATTTAACAGATCCTTAAAAAGCTCCCAAGCTTGATAGAGAGTTTCATTTTCCTTCTGAGCGAAATTCGAGATCTGTCATTTCAAATTATTAGTCTTATGGTGTGGGAAATACTTGTTGAAGAATGTTGTCGTCATTTCTTCCCACGTACCAAATGACTTAGGCCTAAGAGAATACAGCCATCTTTTGGCCTTGTCCTTCAGAGAGAAAGGAAAAAACTTCAATCTGACGGTGTTTGCGGCCTTAGCACGGCTGTGAAAGGTGGCCACCACCTTTCAAACTCTCGAATGTGTACATATGGGTTCTCGTTCTCTAACCCGTGAAAGGTTGGGAGAAGTGCAATCATGCCCGGCTTGAAACCCGTAGGCGCTGCATTTGGTGGGAACATGATGCAAGATGGGGTGGCCGTGCGCGTTGGGTGAAGGTAATCTTGTAACGTCCTCTGCTAAACTTCCTCGTGTTATGCCATTGCGAATATATTTTCAAATGCGAATTCTAACGACGAGTGTGAAGATGGAGGCGTAGAAGACGAGTCAGATAGAATTTCGCTAGGAGTTTCTAAGTCTGGACGTTGAGCAAATCTCCCTAGTTCGTCTCTATACCGATGCATTCACCCAAAGCGGTTTTTTTTTATTTTTTTTGTTTTTATTTTGAATCAACACAAAAGAAAATAATTATATAGTAACGTAAATCGTAACCACCGAGAGTGCTCCCAGGAAAGACTATAGCTCTTGACTCAATGAATAGTCTCCTAGATAGAGCAACGTTCCCAGGAAAGATTGGTAGGGCGAGGCCCACTTAAGTATCAACTTTCCTAGACAGAACTCCCTCAGATTATACTTTCCACGTAACCACACAATTATTCTCAAAATCAATTATTAAATTTTATTGAGTAAATTATAAAATGTAATCTAATTAATGGAAGCTATTCCTAAAGTCAAGAGCCTAAATCTACCAAATTATGAAATTCCTAGATTAAGAATCTAAATTAGTCAACTAATTACAACCTAAAAACAATCCTAAAAATTAATAAGAACTTAAAAGAAAAAATTAAATTAGGCAACAATATAAAAGTCAACAAGTAAAATTAAAATATATAAATGGGGAAACAAAATAAATCTTAGTTTATCAAAAATAAAATATTACAAAATCAAATTATAATTAATTCTAAAACTAAAGAGGAAAATAAAATTAATAATAAAAGTAAATCTTAAATTATCTTCTGGCCATATAAAAAAGAAACTAAAGACACAAAAATTGTAACCTACGACTGAACTGACTCTTTTTTTTTTTTTTCAATAGGATAGATATAGAAATTAATTAATGGTAAAGGAACAGACATAAGTGGCTAAAAAGAAAAACCTGAACAAACAAAAAGAAAATAAATATACGTACATATGAAATTTAAGAAATGAAAGACAAAACAAACAAAAGTTTTTTTTAATA